CCCAATAAAAACTTCTGTCTACTGGACAACCGAACCCGTGTCTGTCGTTTTCTGACATGCCCAACAGTGGAACTGTCTCCCTACGGAGGTTGTGGGTTCTCCACCTCTGGAGGCTTTTCAGAAGAGGCTGGACGGCAGAGGGTTGGGCTTTCCAACTCTACAGTTGTAGGACTCCGTGAACTCACCGAACGGAGAATAACATAGTGTTCTTGCACGAGGACTAAGACTTGTTCTAGCACAAGCTTTCTGATCTAATTCAGCTGCTTAAACATGGCCTCTCCCATTCTTGAAAAGAGCTTTAGCCATTCAGTTGCTCATCAGACTTCTCTTTAAATTGTATTTCTCAATGCAGTAATTTGAAATTTGTAAAATAACAAAACACAAAACAATAGATGCTATGCAACATTTTAAAAAAGCCCCACACAGACTGGGAGAATATAGTGATACTCTCAAGGGGAGAGGAGGCATCCATATTGATTATTTCTCTTTAAACAAGCATTTGGGAAGATGGGAGCCATCCACTAGGAATTATTTTTTTTTCATATAACTAGAAAGCGGAGGGGAGTTGTGATATCAACCTTCAACTATCTGACGGGACATCACTGCTCCAACTTACCTGAGGTGGAAAGGTGAAGAACAGAGCAGAACCAATGGATTAAAATTACAAGGAAGGAGGTTTAGGCTAAACACGGTACAAGCTGTCAGCCACCTGAATTTTGCTAGAGGTCTTCAAACAGAATTTGGAGGAATCCGTCAGAGAGGCTCTAGTGCAAACTTTTTCAAACTTGGCAATTTTCAGACCTTTAGACTTCAATTTTAAGAAGGTGGCCTCCAGACAGGTTTCCCCACACTACCACATGGTCAGGGTTGCAGGAAGATGGGAGTTGAAGTCGGAGGGCAGAAGCTGGGGGAGGCCTGCCTATCACTTGCCCAAAGTAACTATGTCTAATTAACAGGGTTACAAGAACAGGTCATTGGCTGATGAAAAATTCTGGGAAACACGGTTGCATCCTAATTTGTAAGACACCAGGCAATCTAATTTTTAAAAATTCCTTTATTCGCCCTTATGATGAATTATTTCCCTTTCATTCTTTTATTTACAAATGAATCCTTAATTTAACAGACCAACAAAGGGTGGTTATTCCTGATGGTCCATTAAATTGGAAACCACATCGCTGTGAATCACATCAGTTGAATGATGATGACCTCTTGCGAATTACACTGAATCTTCACAGAAATTTGGTTGTATCACAGTCTGGTAAATTTAGTGTTCACTATAATTTATATCCTGCCTTTTTAAAAAATTAATATTTTAGGTAGTATGGATGCTTTGCTTATCATAGCTCAGGTTTACAAGTTGATCCAAGTTTTAACTTTAACACTATTCCTTACTCTGATACTTGGACAGATCCATTTCATTTCTTCTTCCAAACTATTCTCCCAGCCTCAAAGGAGAAAACTGACCAGGCTGAGCACCTTCCAGATGTCCTCCTAGGAGATGTAGCACTGTGGTCCGCAAGGGTTGAGATTCCAAAACTACATCTGCTCAGAGTTATGGATAAAACATTCAAGTGCAACTGAATCTAGATCTATCCATATTGTTTATAACTTATGCAAGGGGTGGACTTCCCCAAAGATGGGGAGGCTGCAGAACCCCCTCAAACCACAAATGCTAAAAATTAATGCTATGTTTTCCTGCCATTTTATAGTAAGAATCACACAAAAAGGATGGCCTAAGGTTTGTGATAGTTCAGCCTTGTAAATAAATCATTTAGTTTACAAAAAAGCACCCCCAAATTCATCTCCAAACTCAGGGAAAATGCCCCAGAAAATATTGGCCCCACCTGAACACCCTTCCATTTGTTAATTTGTCTCCTCAGGGAAGTGCCCACTTTATTTCTGAGGGTGATCTTCTGAGTTCTTTTTATATTTCGTAAGCACTTCTAGCCCTTAAATGCTCTTCCTCCAATGTGAGTTCTACACGTTGATGGGTGTTCTTTCCACGTTTATACGGTTTCTCCCTTGTGTGGACCCTTTTATGAGTACTACAATCACTGCTTGTATTGAAGCTCTTCCCACACTCCATGCATTGATAGGGTTTCTCCCCCGTGTGGATCCTTTTATGGGAAGTCAGGTAACTGCTTGTATTGAAGCCCTTCCCACATTCCAAACACTTATAGGGTTTCTCCCCTGTGTGGGTCCTTCTATGGGAACCAAGGTGACTGCTCCACCTGAAACTCTTTCCACACTCCTGGCATTGATAGGGTTTCTTGCCTGTATGGATCCTTTTGTGGGATATAAGGGGAATGCTCCAGCTGAAGCTCTTCCCACACTCCATACATTTATACGGCTTCTCCCCTGTGTGGATCCTTTTGTGGGAAGTGAGGTCACTGCTCCTCCTGAAGCTCTTTCCACACTCCATACAACTGTACGGCTTCTCCCCCGTGTGGATCCGTCTATGGGAAGTGAGGTCATTGCTCCTCCTGAAGCTGCTCCCACATTCCATGCATTTTATTTATTTATTTATTTATTTTCAAATTTGTATGCCGCCCATCTCCCCCAATGGGTG